AGACGCAACAGATAGAAGTAAGATTAGTAGTGATCAATAGCGATTATATTCGTAGTAAGCCTATAACCCCTTTCATTTTTCGCGAAAACTTTAAAAACGGGTTTCGGTCTAATTTTATTTTCTCCCCTTGCTTGGCCATCTGAGTATTCTTTTTCAGGGCATCCTTTCACCTACNCCTCCTCCTCCTTCATCCTTTCTTTTTAACTAAACTTTTCTTCGTTTTTTTTTGGAATTTTCTTCTTTACTTTGTACTTACAGGTTGTTTAGAATACCAGACAAACAAATAAAGAAATCCTCTTCCTTTCAACTCTTAGATCTAAGGACCTTGTTTTTGTTTACAATTTCAATTCCAATGAAATTGATGCATTATTCAAATTTTTACAATTACCGACTGATAGCTTTGACAGAGATGATTATTTGAAGTTGTAAATATTACAGATCATATATGTGATAAAATGTATTGGTAGTGAAATTGAAAAGCTTAAAGGGACTGTAAGCGTAGTGACCTTCCATGCAAAGATAGCAATGACCGATTTACAACGGTACCATTAAAACCTTAATCTGACTCGAAAAATGTTTAATCCTGTGAATTTCTACATTCTTTCTTATTAGCAAGAAATTGCAAATTCGCTTTTACAAAGAAACCACAAATGAAAATAAACAGTTTTAATAAAGATAAATACTTGAGCTTTTATGGGAACTGTTGTAAATAGGACATTTTTGCATATTGGGTCACTAGAAATTATAGTCAGTTAACTGTTCCGTTCTTTTGTTTAACCTAAGTATTGAAATTAAATCGATTTGACATTTTTAATTAAAAAATTCGAAAGTATTCTTTTGGTCAACCGGCCACACTCAGCTTTGGGTTATTCAAAGAATATTTTTAGGCCGTTAGTGGACTTGGTTTGAAGTGTTCCCATTAGTAGGAGTCCCATCAGTAGAGCTTCTATCAGTAGGATTCCCATCAGTAGAATTTCTATCAGTAGGATTCCCATTAGTAGGATTCCCATTAGTAGGATTCCCATCAGTAGGATTCCCATCAGTAGAATTTCTATAAGTAGGATTCCTATCAGTAGGATTCCCATCAGCAGGATTCCCATCAGCTAGATTCACATCAGTTTGATTATCTTCAGTAAGATTTCCATCAGTAGATTTTTATCAGTAGGATTCTCATCAGTAGGATTCCCATCAGCAGGATTCCCATCAGTAGGATTCCCCTCAGTAGAATTCCCATCAGTAGAATTTCTATCAGTAGAATTCCCATCAGTAGAATTTCTATAAGTAGAATTCCCATTAGTAGGATTCCCATCAGTAGGATTACCATCAGTAGGATTCCCATCAGTAGAATTTCTATCAGTAGAATTCCCATTAGTAGAATTTCTATCAGTAGGATTCCCATAAGTAGGATTCCCATCAGTAGGATTCCCATCATGTTCTATATATGCATTCAGTCGTACAGTCCAGTCTGGACTACCCAGTTTAAAGTCGACCCAGCAATTTTAAACATTGCCACCCTATTTCTATTAGGACCCCATAGATGGGATGTCACAAAGGGGGGTTCGACTTCATAAGTAGGATTCCCATCAGTAGGATTCCCATCATGTTCTATATATGCATTCAGACGTACAGTCCAGTCTGGACTACCCAGTTTAAAGTCGACCCAGCAATTTTAAACATTGCCACCCTATTTCTATTAGGACCCCATAGATGGGATGTCACAAAGGGGGGTTCGACTTCATACTCTGAAACTAAGCTTGCCTCTCCGTCATTTTAAACAATTTCTTCTCATCGAAAATATGATTAAAATGATTTATTTTAGTCCCAAAATTGTCTTAATTTAGAATTAAAACATTTTTATAATTCAGATTAAACTTGACTGTAGTAAAACAAGGAGGATTTAGGTAATACATTCCTCCAGCTAATTTTGAATAAAAACAAGATTGGTTTTCAATTTACTTGAAAATTGGGAGAAAAACTAAGAAATTAATTTTTTAACTGATTCAGCAGCAGTATTTAAAACTTTAAAGTATTTTTTATTAGTACATTTTACTAATTATTTTTATTTTTATAAAATACCAGCTCAAGTGCCGGGCGTTGTCCGTGAAATTGTTTAAAATCGAATTTTGATAAAAAATTTTAAGAAATGAACTTTTGATTAAAAGAAATTCGAATTTTTGAGAAAAAAATGTTTGATAGGTTACTCCCCAGGGACCCATTGGTTCCCTCAAAAAATGTCAGCCCATTCGGTCCAGCCGTTTGGCCAGCCATAGCTAACATAAATACATGATCGAAGAGCTTTATCATATAAATATATTTTAATAAATTTTTCAAGCCCAAGCTCGGCAAACTTTGTCTGTAAACGTAATTTCAAGCGACTTTCCATTCATAGTGTGGAATGTAAGATTCACAACGGCACCCCTACAAGGTTTATGTATTCAAAACTAGATTTTTTTCTGGCTGAAATTTGAGAATTTTCAACACATGGTTGACTTGAGGAGACAATGAATGAAATTGCCAACATTTCACACTTTTATGAATATTTTACAAATATTTTATGAATATTTCATGGATATTCCATGGATAGGAAAACAACGAGTTCTTCCTCATTAATACTTTGAGAAAGATCTAAAGAGCATCGGTGTGAATCATCCCTGCCAATCTATACAGGAACCTTACTTTAAATTGCATCTTTAAGAATCGCTAAAACTTCTATGAATAAACATTTTTGATAATTATATTTTAGTTTCAGGGGAGTGCAAATTATGGGAAAAGCTAAAGTATTTGCACGCAATAAACAAGGGCATATACAAACTTGACTTTTAATTGAAAAATTCTTACGTTTTAAAAATGTTCTAAATTTTTTTACTAGATTAGTATAACTTGCTGCAATTTATATTCAATTTTTCTAAATGAAATTTTTAGTTATTATCGATTAAGATAAAAAGCATTCTTGCTAGAAATTTTGGATGTTTCCCCATGTGACTTTGGATTTTCCACAATGAGTAACCAAACATTCTTGCTCAAAACCATCTTACGGATCTAAAAACAGGGTAAAGTGCTCTCTGGCTAGGATTTTTGGTAAATTACTCTTGGAAAAATGACTTTGAGAAAAAAGTTTTTATAAAATATTTTCTTCTGCTATATCAGATATATCTGATCAACAATATCTGATCAACCATCAGATTATAGTTAGATTATCAACAATATCTGATCAACCATCAGATTATAGTTAGATTATCGACAATATCTGATCAACCATCAGATTTTCACATTTTTATATAATTTAATTCCTCTTAATAATAATACTCTCCGTCTCATCTTCGAACCCTGAAAGGAAAAAACAAATTATCCTTTTTTCTAAAATTTGATTTTGAAGTCTTATCAGTATTCCGTCAGCCATTTCATTTTCCATTTCTCTGTACTTTTATACGATTATTCTTTAGAACAGAGAACTTTAATAAATGATTAATTGATTTTAAAAAATAGTGTTTACTATTTTGAAAAAGTGGTTGTGCTTAATCTGACATAATGTATGTAAGTGCAAAAAAAGCATAAAACCTAATACATTAGCAAAAAGAGGGTGGGGATCGATATACATGTAAAAAATGTACTTTTCAAAATTGTTCTAAACATAAAAAAATTATTTTAAAAATAATCCAAATTGACGAAAGATACAAAAATAAAGTTTATCTTTTACAATCTTCTTATTTTTAATCTAAGCCAAGATTTTTTTTAGTCTCAAATTTCCTTAATTTTTCTTTAGTCCAATCTTAATTTTGATTTATTATTTTCTCAAAAATAGCTTTTTACTCTCAGGGTTGAATTCATTTCAAAAGGAGGGGGGGGGGGATATANCGGGAGGCTATAGTCGCGGAAAGGGGGGGGTATGTAATTTTACCATAACACACTAAATTAGTCTTTACTCTTATTTTTAATTTTTGAATAAAAAATAGACAATAAAATCAATACATAAAAAAGAGTCCAAACTATCGAAAAATTATATATGCTAAAAAATGAAAATAGTAGATTTTTTATTTAAAAATTAAACAAAATAATCAATAAGTCACTAGTTTTATATTATTGTATACTGTCGACCGTTAAAAGAACTAATAAGAGAATATAAATTTATATGGTGGTTAATGCTAAAACCATATTTTTTGCAAAACCTTTTTCTTTTAACAACTTTCTGTTTTGTTTTATCAAACTAAGGAATTGAGTTTTAGTCACAAATTCTGATTTTCTTATTCCTATATCTTTGCATTTCAATGCCGGAAACCATAGATATTTAAAACTATGAAATATTTTAGATAAAATAATGATAGTTTTAAATATCAAAGATTTACACCATCAAGTTGCAATTTGTGGCAAAAACTCAGTTCCTTTATAAGAAGTGTAAAAGAACCGAAAATTTGCCACAGCTCTAACCTTTTAAGTCCGATATGTTTGTAATCTGATTGTGTAAACCCTTGATATTCAAACGTTGACTATTTGATCTGACAAAATAGGAATTAGAAAATAAGATTTGTGACATTTCGCCTGAGGACTAAAGATTTAGATTTTCAGTTTAAAAAAAATTTAAAAACAATCTCGTCTTTAAAGTAAAACCAAACATGCAAAATCAAGATATTTATTAAGAAAATTCTACTGTATAACTAAATCATTTTTATTTTTAAAGATGTTAAATTTTACATAATTTTGCTTATTGTATAATGTATATATCCTTGCTTAGTAAATTGTACTTCCTTGCTGCCATAAAGATCAAAAACATAATAATTTTTATGAATAAATATTTATTGAGCGATTTTCTGCGTCTACTTGTAATAAAGAAATGTACATGCTTTAAACATTCAGATTTAGTTCTCCGTTATTACAATATCTTAAATTTTGAAGAAAAAATATCACATCTTAAATTTGACAGCGTCATTTGTTTATTTTTGATAATTAGTTTATAAATACTTGATAATTCTAGAAATATTCATATTTTTGCACATGAATAAAAAAGTTTTCACAATAGTTTACATATTTTAATTATTGTTAGAAATTATTTTAAATTTTGGATGATTTAAATTTTTTTGCTCTGAGCATGCATCTTTTCAAACATGCAATATTGCAATGTAGATGATCAATATATATATATATAAATATGGGTATCTTTACAGTAAGAAAAAGCTCAGGGTATTGGCGTGCTAGACGCATTATGAAAAAATTGGGTTGAAAAAAGCAATGCATCAACTATCTCTCCCACAAGAGCAAATATGTATCTAACAAACTAATCTTTACAGAAATCCAGATCAGGGGTTCATCTTACAACACACTTTCTTTCCTTTCTGCATCACCTTATACATCCTTCCTGTTCTACCAACTCATAATTCTTCATGTCTCTATTATCTTAAAACCCTGTACATATACTATCCTCGAGCCCTATCCATATACTATCCCGGAGCCCTATTCATATACTATCCTGGAGCCCTATACATATGCTATCCCGGAGCCCTATCCATATACTATCCCGGAGCCCTGTACATATACTATCCCGGAGCCCTATTCATTATGCTATCCTGGAGCCCTATTCATATACTATCCTGGAGCCCTGTATATATACTATCCTGGAGCCCTATATATATACTATCCTGGAGCCCTGTTCATATGCTATCCCGGAGCCCTGTACATATACTATCCCAGAGCCCTATTCATATACTACCCTGGAGCCCTATATATACTATCCCAAAGCCCTATTCATATACTATCCCGGAGCCCTGTACATATACTATCCCGGAGCCCTATATATACTACCCTGGAGCCCTCTATATACTATCCTGAACCCCTATTCATATACTATCCTGGAGCCCTTTTCAAATACTATCCGGGAGCCCTTTTCATATACTATCCTGGAGCCCTCTATATACTATCCCGGAGCCCTATTCATATGCTATCCTGGAGCCCTTTTTAAATACTATCCGAGAGCCCTTTTCATATACTATCCTGGAGCCCTGTACATATACTATACCGAAGCCCTTTACATTTATTATTCTGGAGCCACATACCTCTACGATCCTGTAACCCTAAACCTCTACTGTCTTGTCACCCTAAAACTCTGGTATCCTGTAACCCTGTACCTCTGCTAACATGTAACCCTATATATATGCACTTGTAATCCTATACCTCTGCTATCCTGGAATCCTGTACCTTTGGTATCCTTTAACTCTGTAAACCTCCGGAACTCTGTACCTCTTTTTACCTGCGACCCTGTACCTCTGCTATCCTGTAACCCTGTACCTCTGCTATCCTGTAACCCTGTACCTCTGCTATCCTGTAACCCTGTTATCAGTCCTATAACCCTATATCACTGCTACCTTGTAACTTTGTACCTCTGCTACCCTTTAACCTCTGGTATCCTGTAACCCTGTACCTCTGGTATCCTGTAACCCTGTACCTCTGGTATCGATCCTATAACCCTAAATCACTGCTACCTTGTAACTTTATACCTCTGCTACTCTTTGACCCTATACCTCTGCTATCCTGTAACCCAGTACCTCTGGTATCGATCCTATAACCCCATATCACTGCTACCTTGTAACTTTGTACCTCTGCTACCCTGTAACCCTATACCTGTGCTACCCTGAAACTCCTATCCTCCATAACTTTACTTTTCTGTAGTCCCTATACTCCTTTATCTCTACAATCCTGAGGTTCTTATCTCTGATGATCTTGAACCCCTAACTCTGATTGCTATCCATAAAATTCTCCAACGTAGTGAAGACTGTTATAGGTACCTTTATGCTGCTGTGCAATTCTGTTCTTATTTGCTGCTCTCCGTCTCATTGCTATATCTAGCTTGATAAGAGCTTGATCGTAAGTAGGTGGAGGATGAATAACTGCGCTGTATTCAGGTGGGCCAACGCTAGCGGAAGACGAGGATGAGTGGGAGTGTGTGCTAGCTTGTGATGCTGACTCGATATTATTAACCATCAGATTTTGGTTGTGATGAGGTGGGTTTGGAGCACTGTGAGTTGAGTGGAATGAGGTTGTGGATTCTTGTCTCTGGAAAGTATGAAATGAACGTGATGCCTCCAGATGTTTAGTCGGATGCATCAGCAACCTCTGATGCTGATTTGTGTAGTGAGTGTTCAAATGAGACGAGGAATGACTTTGCATGCTACCCTGAAGAAACCCCCTACGCATACCCCTGCTGTTGTTGCATCCTGCAGGATGCATTCCTTCACACTTTCCAATCTGGGGATGGAGAGGGGACTCCTGTAAGCTTCCATCACTCTTGTATCCGTTCCTGCTGTGCGATCTAGATTCTAACGGTTCCTGACTTCTCAGCGCTTGCTCCTGTCTTGTCCAGTCTCCTTTATCTTCCTCGTCCACACTGTATCCTCTCTGGCTGTGCTGACTACCCCCTGAATCATCATGCTGGGATCCCATGCACTGAAGCTGTATTTCTATTTCATGTTCTGGATCGCTTCTGTATCCGCCCCTGCTGCTGCTCCGGCTTGCAACCTGTTCTCGATTGACTGGAATATCCCGGTTATAGTCATGAGCTCTTATTTGGGTTTTCATCTGATCTCCGTTAGCCTGGAGTCGGCGAGTGGTCAGCCTATCCTGCTCGTATTTACTGGGTTGTTTAGCAGGACTGGAGTATCTAGCTCTATGCTTGACACGTTCTCCGTCACTCTTGTATCCAGCTCCATCACTCTTATACCCATCTCCGTCGGATTTGTATCCATCTGATTTATATCCATCTGATTTGTATCCATCCATGTTTGTAACTGCATGTTTTCCTTCATGTTTCCTTCTTTCTCCATGTCTTGTTGCGTAGCAATGTCTCTCCTTCCCACGGAAAGTAGAGAATGTAGAGTTGTACAAAGACCTGGAATAACAAGTATATAAAACAAAACTTTAAACAGAACATCTGGCTCAAATCAACAAGAAACTATTCACTGTAAAAACATTCTTGCACAAGGAACATAGAAATCACATGGACAGAAGACATACAGTAGGGGGCCTCACTTACTGTCTTCTAGACAAGGAGAAATATTAACAAAAACAAAAAGGAAAAAGGGGGGTCAAAGGAATACTAGAAGGAGGATAGTAGAGCGGGGAGGACCTCCCCGGGAGATTAGGGGGTACAGTACAGGATAGTGGAGTACGGAGGATAGTAGAGCAGGAAGGTTAGGAGGTACAGTTTACAGGATAGTAGACTAGGGAGAATAGGGGTTACAGGATAGTAGATTATGGAGGAAAGGGGTAATAGTAGAGTAGGGAGGACAAGGGGCACAGGATAGTAGAGTAGGGAGGATAGGGGTTACAGGATAGTAGAGTAGGGAGGATAGGGGTTACAGGACAGTAGTGTAGGGAGGATATGGGTTACAGGATAGTAGAGTAGGGAGGAAATGGGTTACAGGATAGTAGAGTAGGGAGGATAGGGGTTACTGGATAGTAGAGTAGAAAGGATATGGGTTACAGGATAGTAGAGTAGGGAGGATAAGGGTTACAGGATAGTAGAATAAGGAGGATAGAGGGTACAGAATAGTAGAGTAGGGAGGATAGTGGTTACGGATAGTAAAGTAGGGAGAACATGGGTTACAGGATAGTAGAGTAGGGAGGATAGGGGTTAAAGTATAGTAGAGTTTAGATGATAAGGGGTAGTAGAGAAAAAGTGGATATAAAAACATTCTAGGAACTATCTAGAATCTCTAAAAATATTTAAATTTAAAATTAATTTCCTGAAAATGACAATAATAAAAAAATCTGAACAATAACAAACCACGAAATGGCCCAGAAGGGAAATTGGATGAAGGCTTAGAGCCAGAGCAGAATATTAAATAAAAAAATTTAAACCATTTAATCCAAAAATTATGTTTTTCTCCTGTTACACCCCTGAAAATCAGAAACTTTTGGGTAAGATACTTTTAACCCTTAATTCAATATCTTCAACGCAACTTTTAAATTTAAGAGTTTTACCATCAGATGAAAATTTACTGGTTCTGTTTTAATCCTTACTTCATTGCCCGAGCTTGGAAAATCTTATTTTTTATTGGTCGAGAAAGGTTATATTCTGGATACAAATTCTTAACTAAATATTTCATGATTATTTCCTCGTTTAAATGAAAGTGAAATCCCTGAAACTTTGAGTATAGAATGCGGGAAAAGTATTAAATCATGAAACTAATATTGTGATCCAAACTCCCTTCTATCTCGTAATGAAATATGTTTTGTTACAAATTAAACTCAAGATCTATGGCGCTTGTTGCATCAAAACCGTTTGTGTAAACAAAACCAAAGACTAAAAACAAATAAAGAAATATTCACGCAGAAAACAGGTGAAGTGTAGAAATATGAAGAAATACTGAAAGCTAGATGAATGGGAGCAGAGCATGCAAGTATTGGAATTATAGAACATCATGCAGTGTTTCTTCCCTTATTTATTGCCTTCAGTATTCTATGCAAGGAAGGAGATTAAAGGATAGGTAGAGAATAGGTATCCAGGGATAGGTAGAGAATAGGTATCCAGGGAAAGGTAGAGAATAGGTATCCAGGGAAAGGTAGAGAATAGGTATCCAGGGAAAGGTAGAGAATAGGTATCCAGGGAAAAGTAGAGAATAGGTATCCAAGGAAAGGTGTAGAATAGGTATCCAGGGAAAGGTGTAGAATAGGTATCCAGGGAAAGGTGTAGAATAGGTATCCAGGGAAAGGTGGAGAATAGGTATCCAGGGAAAGGTGGAGAATAGGTATCCAGGGAAAGGTGGAGAATAGGTATCCAGGGAAAGGTGTAGAATAGGTATCCAGGGAAAGGTGTAGAATAGGTATCCAGGGAAAGGTGGAGAATAGGTATCCAGGTAAAGGTGGAGAATAGGTATCCACGGAAAGTTAGAGAATAGGTATCCAGCGAGAGGTAGATAATAGGTATCCAGGAAAAGGTAGAGAATAGGTATCCAGGGAAAAGTAGAGAATAGGTATCCAGGGAAAGGTAGAGAATAGGTATCCAGGGAAAGGTAGAGAATAGGTATCCAGGTAAAGGTAGAGAATAGGTATCTAGGGAAAGGTAGAGAATAGGTATCCAGGGAAAGGTAGAGAATAGGTATCCAGGGAAAGGTAGAGAATAGGTATCCAGGGAATAATTTAAACTGGAATAGCAGGTTCAGGATAGGGCTGAGTTTAAAGATCTGAAGAGCAGCATGCAACAGGAATTCGATAATTTAACAATTCTAAGAATGAACATCAAGGAAGGTTTTAAAAATATAAATTTTGAAATAAAGGCTCTAAACTATCATCTAAAAAGGTTCAATAAGTGGCAGAACATCCTAAAGTGGAAGATTAGGATAATCTGTGGTCCTTTTTACTTGCCAGAAGGTGTTGGGCTGGCGGGGGGGGGGGGGGGGCAAGAAAAGGGAAAAAGGCAAAAAAAACATTTAGGAAGGAAAAAAACTATCGAGAGGCTGGGTTTTAAACATTGTGTTGTGATGAAAGTTCTCGTTTAAAATTAGAAAGTATAATGGAAGTGATAGAATAAAGCTTCAAAAAACATGTCCTGGATAAATTTGAAAAATAGTGTCCAATAATTTGTTGGTTAAAACATCAATTATGTATTTGTAAACATGTTTTTTAAGGCATTGCTAGCTCCGGGTTAAATGTACAACTGGACGTGTATATAGGGTAGGCAGGAGAGGGATGAATGATTACTCACTGGTTGTAAATATTAGATACAGATCCTTGTGTATTGTTGGAGGATCCCTGCATGGCAAGCTGAACAGCAGCTAAACTACTGTCTAATGATTTCTGCCGAGGTAAATTTCCCAGTCCGGGAGCTCTGGGAGCACATTTCCTGTCAGGACGGTCATATATAGTTAGGACATAGATACAGACACAAATATTATATCATCATAGACGAAACAATAATTTTACAAACTGCAACAAATTGACAAAATAAAGTTAATTTCGTAGCTTTAAGCCAATAAAAGGGCAAGCAATGCCATCTTTGTAGCTATTTCAGCAATATGAAGTCCGATGGTACATGGTGACATAAAAGTTATTTGACGTTCGTAACATTAATAAAGCTCTAGCTAGACAGCCAATATATCTAACTAGGAATACAGATGATGCAAATTACAGTTTGTGTCTTTGCAAAACTACGTTTATTTGTTAGATCTAGTATACTGTGTGAGTGTATGTACTACAGTTTGTATCTACTACCTGAGAACCCAGGAGTTTGTTGTCTGCTGATTATTGTGATGACCAGCTCCAGCTGTAGCTGCTGGAATACCTGGAACAGACCTACTCAGCTCAGGGTTGTTCTGGAGACTAGCAGACACAGGTCGTGTCGGGGCATCTCCGTAGTACAAGTTCTCTTCACCTGAACAACCATCAGGTACAAGAGAGAAGACGACATATCAATATGTGTCGTTTTTAATCGACATATAGAGTTTAGGGTCATTTTATATGTTGTGCACATTATTATCTGCACTAAACCACAGTGGGTCAAATGGTTTCGGGGATGGAGCGTGGCTAGAACTCTAGAACAAATATTTTCTTTCTTTAAGTTCAGTGTGCATTTTTACGTTAACGTTACGGCATTTCAAACGACACGTTACCGGCTTGTCAGACGCCGTTATGTGTCAGTGCTGGTTCTATACTACCTGTTCTGTGGTCGTTGTGTAGTAAAGTCAAGTGAAAAACCCGTCAGGTATTAATCAGTTTTTATCAAGAATTTGATTACAGTGCTACAAATAGAATATATTATACTATATAATTATATTATATTAATTTAAGAATAAGACTGTAAAAAAGAACTGAAACTCTTTGAGTGAGACGATTCCCAGGTTAAATGAAGTCCTGCATTGAATATAGACTTTTAATGACTTAAAAAAATAATTTTGAAAGAAATAGGTGTACAGTTGCAAGGAATTTTGAATATAAGAAAATTGACAGTATAAATTACGTACAGTCGTCTTTGAAATCTTATCCTTTGTGGGCAACCCTGTATACTTAGCTTTCAGGGTGTTTTAGTCCTGTTTTATTACATCATTATAATTATCTTTATTTATCAGCAAGTCCGTCTTCAAAAATATGAAAAAAAATTCGGTTCAACGTTTTTTTTATGTTAATTATATACAAATAAACTTACAGCAAACTAACAGACAAGTCCAATATACAAAGAGTATGTATATATATTGTTTATGTGATATTGAATTGAATACTCTCATGAAAGAATTTATACTCAGATAAATATGAGAAAACTTTTACATTATTAATCTTCCTATTCATTAACTAGAAACTATATGTTACAGTTCTCTAGCCTTCTAGCTCAGCATTCTTTCTAGCTCAGCCATACTTTCTAGCTCAACCATACTTTCTAGCTCAACCATACTTTCTAGCTTAGCCATACTTTCTAGCTAAACCATACTTTCTAGCTCAGCCATACTTTCTAGCTCAACCATACTTTCTAGTTTAGCCATACTTTCTAGCTCAGCCATCCTTTCTAGCTCATCCATCCTTTCTAGCTCAGCCATACTTTCTAGCTCAACCATACTTTCTAGCTCAGCCATACTTTCTAGCTCATCTATCCTTTCTAGCTCATCCATCCTTTCTAGCTCAGCCATACTTTCTAACTCTGCCATACTTTCTAGCTCAACCATACTTTCTAGGTTATCCATCCTTTCTAGCTCATCCATCCTTTCTTGTTAATCCATCCTTTCTAGCTCATCCATCCTTTCTAGCCTATCAACTCTTTCTAGATAATCCTACCTTTCTAAATAATCCATCCTTTCTAGCTCATCCATCCTTTCTTGTTAATCAATCCTTTTAAGCTAATCCATCCTTTCTAGCTCATCCATCCTTTCTAGTTAACCCATTCTTTCTAGCTCATCCATCCTTTCTAGTTAATCCATCTTTTCTAGTTAATCCATCCTTTCTTGTTTATACATCCTTTCTAGCTCATCCATCCTTTCTAGCTCATCCATCCTTTCTAGTTAATCCATCTTTTCTAGTTAATCCATCCTTTCTTGTTTATACATCCTTTCTAGCTCATCCATCCTATCTAGCTTAGCCATACTGTATAGCTAAGCCATACTTTCTAGTTAATCCATCTTTTCTAGTTAATCCATCCTTTCTAGCTTATCGTTCCTAGTTTTTATATACTTTCTTTGTATTGTATCGTTTGTAGCTCATCCATTCTTTCTAGCTCATTCGTCCTTTCTAGCTCATACAACATATCTAGCCTATTAATCCTGTCTAGCCAATCCATCCTTTCTAGGTTATCCATCCTGTCTAGGTTATCGGTCCTAGTTTTTATATATTTTCTTTGTATTGTATATTTTGTAGAGTATATCAACATTCTTCAAGTAAGAAGTCTATAACGATGTACAATATTTCTAGCATTTGCATTTTATACATTCTATATAATATATATATACAATATACAAAGGACTTTTCTATTCTTAATCATTACGTTAAGTAGTATTTCCGTTTTTTTGTCAAAAAGTCTTTGGGCTTCTGCCTCAGGGTAAATGTAAACGGAATACACATAAATCTTGAAAAGACAACATCTAGTGTCCTATCTGTTATCTTAATTAATCTATGCTTGAAAGGATAACGTTGTGAATCGGACATGCCACTCTTAAATTGGGAGTTTTTTGAATTTACGACTTTAGTTCTTTTAATGTTTTAAAATCCAAAAATTCAAATTTAAAAAAAGAACTATTATTTTCCGAAATGTACGTTTCATATCAAAATCAAATTTATCATTTATCTGATTTCCATGTGAGGAGAAGTTTTGACAGTGATGTCTCTTAAAATATAAAATCATTGGATCAGAATAAGATAACAGAACAACGAGAGATGGAAGAACTTGATCGAATAAGGTTGAGGGACAGTTTAAAGATTTAAAAGTAAACTGTTGTTCTGAAAGGGACTATAAGCGTAATTTTAATATACAGGATTTCATACTTGGCAAAGCTTTTAATAGTACCGTTGTGAATTGGGCATTGCCATCTTTGCATGGAAGGTCACTTGAAATTTTAAATCTTAAGACTTGTTAATCAAAAGAATCTAAATATCTGTAAACTAGAGGCATCTACAACCTGTAAAATAAACGTGTGTTTCTTATTCAATAATATTAGGATATATTTGTCTATTTTCCAATAACTAAATATATCCATGGAAGTAAAAATTCAATATAGAATTCTGTGCTGACAAGCTGGAATTGGATAATTTAGATCTTGTTTGAGTCCACCAAACGAAGATGGGGTTAGACTTGGATAAAGTAGGATTAAAGTTTATTTCATCCTTTGTTCATAGGGGGCACAGTCAATGCATAGAGGGAACTCTTATTTACTGTTGATAGGGGAGAAAATATCTGTAGTAGATTGGATTCCTATATATAGGGTATAGACCTTCTTATTCAATATTGGAGTATACGCAGCTGCATTGCAGATACTACCTTCTTAACAGAAAACCTTTTTAATCATTTTACATTTATGATTATATGCTTTCCCTCCGTGATCCTTCTTTTACTTTGGAATAATTCTTTTTAGTTTTTCTTCAATGTTTTTTCTTTAATCCGTCTCCATTGTTGGATGTACAATGTACATACTCTAAATACCTTTTTATACAACTGCACTCACACACATTCTTTTTGTATTATATTTCCAAACCTGAGTCTAAATATTTAACTCGCGGAAATCGACGAGTTAAAATTTAAACACAGAGTTAAAATCTTGAAATCCCGCAATCCCTATTTGCATCATCATCATTCAGCGGTAAGCGGCATTCAACTAATTACAATATATTTAAAAGTAAAAACCTTGATTTAATAAATTTCACGTTTTAGATTAATTAATGTTTGCACGTATAATTTAAAATTTAAAAATCAGCTGATTATCAATAGTTACGTAATAATTCTTTTCTCTGATTGGTTCAGATTTTCCCGGGAAATTCAAATTTAAAATTGAGAAAGTTTAATATTTAAGTAGCTACTCATCATTTTACAGAACTTTTAACCTCGAACTTAAAATTCGCGCATTCTTTAGTTTTAGACTCTGGAAAGTATTGGAAAGGAGTTGATTCTTTGCCACAAACTTTGATTTTTAAATACCTATATCTTTGGAACCAAATGCCGTAAACCTTTGATATTTCAAACTTATATTATTTGATCTAACAGAAGTCATAGTTTGAAATGTAACAGGTCTACGACATTGGAATCCCGAGATATAGGGATTAGAAAATCAGAGTTGGTGGCAAAGGCTCAATTTTTTTGTTATACATTTATTTGATGGTGTTTTAACCAAAACCGTAATCTACATATCTCACGTTTTTTCTCATTCTGAGTTAAAAATTTGAGATCACAAGAAGTGTTCTGCATGTTATTGAACGTTTTTATAACTGTCCTGTGCTTTTGTTTTCACACAAAAAGCAGTGCAGCAAAATTATTTGGCTATCACGCCTGTAAGTTTTTTTTTAATAAAAACACGGTAGTTAATTTGTCTTTGTGTGAAGGCAATCTGATCTAAACATGGAGGATTAAATAGCTAATTAACATTCCTGATTGGTTTAGAGAATCCTATCCTTTAAAACAAGGTTTACTCAAGGATCTCTGAACCCTGAAATATAAATATCTAAATCTAAATAAAACTTACTTCTATCAACCTCTAGGTTAGGAACTGAAGTGCTGGAGCAAATATCCTTGTTCGACAACGAAACCTAAAGAGTGGAGAAAGAAATAAATATATTTATTTTAATTAATTAATTTAATTAGATTTATAAAACTTCTTCACACCTGCTTGTGCATTTCCTCATTCCTAGCAGCAAGTTTCTCATCGTACAAGAAGAACCATGAATGCATATCTTCACTTAATCCCTCGTATGAATACCTAAACATAGATTCACATTCATCTAAAGGATCTGCAAGCTCTAATGCAAAAAATCGATGAAATTTTTTCCAATTTCTCATTTAAAACAAAGCTAAAAAATGAAGGCTATAAAAGAATATTTCCAGGTTGCAAAAAAGTATAACTGAGTTAGGAAGATGAATTAAAAGGCCAAGGTGATGTGACACTTGAAGGTCCATCTAGTTTAGAAAATTTATGCAATTGATCTATGTAGAATATTACATATAAATAGAGAAAGGTTTTAGGTCGCTAAACCATAAGATTATACTCACTTCAACGCAAATGCACCCATTTGTGCTCTTTTGTACTAGTTTGTAATAAGGTTCTTTTTGTACTTAATTGCGCTCATTTGTAATCATTTGTACTCTTCTGAACCATTTACCTGAGCCCGAAATTTAAAAGTGTATCGTTGAACGGAACTTCCGAGTTTCCTTTTTGGGGACTTAACATTTGTGAAGATTTTGATTTAAGAGATTCGAAAATATGGAGAATATGAATAAACTAAATAAAATAACATTTAAAAAAAATATTGATATTCACAAAACTGCCTAACCCCAATCGTGAAACCCGGGTTCTACAACTGGTTTTCACAATGATACCCTGTCTTAAGTTTTGAACTCTGTTGTGATGTATGCAAGTTACATGTAGTATATACTGTATAGAGTATATTTATCCAACATTAAAAAAGGTCATTATGTCAACAATTCGTAGATATTCATAAAGCGTGAGGATGAAAAAATACGTAAATATTCTTAAAGGGTGAGGTCGCGAAACAATATGTAATTACTTTTAAAGGGACAGGTCGCCAAACAATACGTAAATATTTGTAAAGGGACAGGTAACGAACCCTACGAGCGTTAAAGTTTGAGTACCTTTCATTGGAGTCCAAGTTTTTAGATGCCACATCTGCACTTGCAGTTGGTCTCCAACCAAGTGGAGTTATAGCCTAAAAAATATCAGTGTCTGGAGTAACTGAATTCAAATTAATTAAATAAAAGGAATGAAATAAAGGTCTGAAGGGAATTAATGAAAAAAGATTAAGAACCCGAATAAATTAATTAAAGGAGGGAAATAAATGAAACTAATAGAATAGAAGGATTAAAATAAATAAAATAGTTTGAAAATAATCATAGGAAAAAAATAAAAAAATTAGAGCAGAATATTGGAAGGAAGATGAGTGGATGAAATTAATTTACAGGGTTACCCACAAACGATGAGATTTAAGAGACGATTAGACTGTCTGTTTCTTTATATTCATGATTCCCTGCAATTAACTTCTTTCTTTCTTTGCGATATCGTAGTTAGGTCGCCTTTTTAGTCTTCGGTATTCAATTTAATTATAAATCTCAGGACCGAATATAATAAATTGGAGAGGTCGCTGAATTACCTACAGCCGGTTCAAATCCCGAATCACTAATTCAAATTCTCATGAATCTTGAACTTTGAATCGGTGACTCAGGATTTGAACCATCTGTAGGTAGAATTTAGAGACCTCTCTCTAATTCTTTAAATTCAGTCCCAGATCATGGTACAGGGTGTCCCACGAAATATGACAGTTGGTGAATAGTTTAGAATATCTTTTTCCATAATTTGTTGAGTTGTTTTGTACCAAAGATCAATAAAAATATTATATGGGAGTCATGTTATATCAAAATTGATTTCAAAGTAAAAGATAATGAAGCAAATGGATGTTTTAACTAAAAAAAACGATTTTTTAAATGTCATGTTTCCTGGGACACCCTGTATTTCAAAAGTTTCAGATCGTCAACAAAAAATGTCATTCTTTGTTGATAACCCTGTACAGTACAGTACAGTACAGTACAGTACAGTACAGTACATACCTGGAGTATAAGACAGAGTAGATAAACTCCTCTGGTTGAGTCACTGTACAATCCCTCAGAAACCCAGGGATCTCCTTCAAGTTTCCATTCTATGCTCTTCCCGTAATTTCTCGGACCTAGATTTACAAAAAAACCATTTTGATTTTAAACCTTTAGCGAAAAAGTTTAAATTCTTATTATTTTCAATGAATCTTTATTTTTTTTAGTTGAAAATTGTTTCTATCATTTAACTTAAAGAGACTTTCAATTTAATTTCAGATGATCTGCCGATTAAAGAGGAACATGTCGGATTCACAACGGTAGAATTTAAACCTTTAACGGATCAATAATGTCGATGATATCGTTATTTATTTAACACTGTACTTTCTTTAAAATGGAAGGTTTTTTAATCTATAACGAAAGGAGTTTTTTTTTACAACCTTAAATTGTCTAATCATTATTAATCTTTGCAACCTGATAGTGTAAATCTTTGATATTTTAAACTTTTTGATCTAAACCCTTTGATCTAACAGAATTTATAGTTTGAAATTGCCAAGGTCTACAACATCGGGTTGCAAAGATATATGGATATAAAACATTAAAGTTTGTGGCAGAAACAAATTTCCTTTCTTCCCTGACTCGTGGAAAGAGTTTAAATCAAAATTATCTCATATGATTGCGCTTATATATCAAACTATTTGAAAAATAAACCAAAATATAAAACCGTTTCGGCTTTTAAGATAAGCATAATGAATAGATTCTACAATATTTGCACACTGTCGTTTCAATGTCTTAAGTTAAACCCAACGAATGAGTTAAAATCATTTTCTACTCCAAGGGTTGACTTTTTTTTTCTTCAAACGCCTCTCTGATTGGTCTTAAGGCTGGAATTGAGATATGTAAAATAGAATCTATGTAAGAAAGTCCCGGGAAAAAAATTTTCTGGAAAAAAAACTGGAAATAAAAACTTTGGAAAAAAAGTCCGAATTTTATCAAGTCCTTGGAAAAAATGTCACTGGAAATAAAGTCCTGTGTTTTGGATTCCTGGGACTTTTTTTCCTAAAATAGTATGGGTACTGCCAAAAAAGTCTCAGGAAATAAGATCCCAGGAAAAAAAGTCCTGAAGAAAATAAATCCGAGGAAAAGAAAAACCTAGAATTGTGAATCACAGTGTGTATCCGAACCTTGCAAAGGAAGGGTGTCAGCAGAGCTTTCTAAGCCTGTTGAGAGAAAGGGCGCTATGTGCGTTGTACTTGTATAGAAGTCTAGATATCAAGGTCACTTCTCTCCACAACTGAGTGGAAAGCTAAAAGGACTTTTTTCCACAGGACTTTTTTAGTGTAAAATTTTAGGACTTTTTTCCGGAAACTTTTTTTCCAAGGACTTTTTTGGCGGTTACTGTAAAAGATGGCATCAGCTGACAAATTAATAATGGCGAAATGACGGAGACGAAATAAAAAATAACCAAATGCGTTGTACAGAAACTACTTTATCAATCATCATTGTATACAAATATTTGTAATATAAAGTATAGTCTCCTAATATAAAGCCTATTCCGACCGTATTTATTTATATATTCATAAGAATCGCCTTTTTTGGCACCGAGTATCCGGGTATTCAAGAATTCTGCTGAATAAAGATTTTTTTCCTCAGGTTCTGGGATTTCAGAAATCTGGATTTCTTCAGAATCTGGTATAACAATTATAATACATAGTAGGTTTCCTCTGATTACAAGGTTATGTAGTAGGATTCCTCTAATTACAAGGTTATGTAGAAGGATTCCTCTGATTACAAGGATATGTAGAAGGATTCCTCTGATTACAAGGTTAAATTAGGATTCCTCTGATTACAAGGTTTTTTAACTTTAACAATTTATTTTAATTAAGTTTTACAGTATTTTAAAAAAATTTTGTGATATCAGATGAAAATATTTTGAGATTTCTATATTTCTTGTTCTTCATTTTCTTCGTGTTTGTATACATCTTTCAATGATATTTCGGCTACTTTTGAATAAAAAGAAAAGAATTTATTTTTAGAAATCCTTGATGTTCGCCACTTTAAAAGAAAGAAACATTTTTAGTTGGTTTTCTCTGATTACAAGGTTGTATAGTAGGTTTCCTCTGTTAACAAGGTAATAATAGCATTCCTATGATTACAGGTTTATATTGTTGGATTCCTATGATTACAAGGTTATATAGTAGGATTCCTCTGATTACAAGGTTATATAGTAGGATTTCTCTGATTACAAGGTTATGTTGTAGGATTCCTCTGATTACAAGGTTATATAGTAGGGTTTCTCTGATTACAAGGTTATATTGTAGGATTCCTATGATTACAAGGTTATATTGTAGGATTCCTATGATTGCAAGGTAATATTGTAGAATTTACAAGATAAAAAGATGAATTCCTCTGACTACAAGTACAAATATAGGATCACTTTGATTGCAAAGGATTGGAAATCGTTCTAAATTAAAGATTCAGCAATTTGCAATGTAGGAGAATATAGAGTGAACTGCCAATCTTGGCAAACAGTTCTGCTACAAATCTGTAGGAAGTACTTATAATGTTCATGTTCTACATACTAAAGATTCATGTACCAGTACGTATTTCCTGAGATATTAAACTTTTATGTATTTTAAGGTATAAAATTCCAGAGGAAAAAGAAATATTATCATTTCTATCTTTTATTTGTACGTTTTCAGTCTGGAAACCATTACGCTTCATGATTTTTTGCATCTTAAAAATACAAATTTAGATCGGCTCTGTTAAATTTAAATAACACGTGTTTGATTCAAATTAGCGTTCATGTATAGCTTAAAGTCGAAAAAGTGTTCAAGTTCAGTTCAATAGTAAATGTGCATAATCAACCTGAACCATAGTTCATTTTAAGTAAAATAAGTGTTATGTTCAAACAAATATTGTTTGTTACTTTAAAGCTCAACAGAAAGTTCAAGTATTGTTTAAAGGCTAGCTGGGGAAAATATAGATTCCATCGAATAGATAAATTGTTTTAAATGGAGAAGACGTTTTATTGGATTCTAGAGATGAAATTCTTTAATTATTAGAGAACTGCAATGTTTCCCGGGAACAAAGCAAAATATAGTTTTTGGAACATTTTCATCAAACATGGTTTCTAGATTAGAATAAATATTGAATTGTATAAAATATGAATAGATATATTTATATATGTACATGTGAGGGCCAGGACTGGAGAAATATTACTCTTTAGGGTGCTGTACTCAGTCCTGGATATTATTTATTCATTCAGAAAACTCTCCTTGAAATCCAACCATCTCTCAGGGGATATGGAACATAAAAACAACCAAACCAGGCTCAAGGTCCAGGAATATCAAACCTTACAGCAAGGTTTAGCACGTTAAACTTTGAATCAAGGTTTAGGTTTTATCTTTGAATTCAGGTTTAGAAGACCTTACACCAAGGTGTGGAAGAGTGAACCTAATACGAAGGTTTAGGAGAAGTAAACCTAATACCTGGGGATATGAGAAGTAAACCTTACACGAGGTTTAGGAGTCGTAAACCTAATATATAGGTTTAGGAGTAGGTAACCTAACACAAAGGTTAAGGAGTAGTAAACCTAGCACGAAGGTTTAGAAGAAGTAAATCTAATACCAAGGTTTAGGAGCAGTAAACCTAATACCTAGGTTTAGAGTAGTAAACCTAACATGAAGGTTTAGAAGAAGTAAACCTAATATATAGGTTTAGGAGTAGGTAACCTAATACCTAGGTTTAGAGTAGTAAACCTAACATGAAGGTTTAGAAGAAGTAAATCTAATACCAAGGTTTAGGAGCAGTAAACCTAAAACCTAGGTTTAGGAGTAGTAAACCTAACCTGAAGGTTTAAAAGAAGTAAACCTAATATATAGGTTTAGGAATAGGTAGCCTAATATCAAGGTTTAGGAGTAGTGAACCTTACACAAAGGTTTAGGAGAAGTAAACCAAATATATCAAGGTTTAGAATTGGGAAACCTATATAGAGTATCGCTATAGTTTATTATCGATTTTGATGGTTATTTTATCGTTAGAACTAAGAGGGTCCACCCAGACCAAAATATAATTTCAAAAAATGTACAAAACTTACACATTCTTTTTTACTCTATGAGGTTTGGATGATCATCAACACCAAGTTTTAAATAGAAAATACTAACCTAGAGCAACCCAGTAGTTTTTAATGGTTTCATTGAGCCGACTCGTCAACCTTAGCTCAGCTTCCTCTGATATGTCAGTGCTACTCACTATTAACCTTATCCTAAACAATATTTAAAATTTCAGTCTCTGTAGTGACATAGTTTGAACAGTTTTTAAAGTTTTAGTCTCTTCTAATACAGCATTGCCTTATCCTAAACAATATTTAAAGTTTCAGCCTCTGCAGTGCCATATTTTGAACAATATTTAAAATTTCAGACTCTAATAAGTCAGTGCTACTCAATATTAACCTTATCCTGAACAATATTTAAAGTTTCAGCCTCTGAAGGCCTTTATCCTAAGCCATATTTAAAGTTATTAGTCAGTTCAACCAATTATTAACCTTATCCGGAAAAATATTTAAAGTTTTAGACTTTGATATTTCAGTGCTACTCAGTATTAACCTTATCCTAAACAATATTCAAAGTTTCCGTCTGTTATAAGTTTTTTAACATCCCACTTTATCTTATATCTAAAATCAGTCAAATGAATGAGATTAAAATAAATTTGATTTTCTAAAACTGCGCAATGTTTGTTTTTGTTAGATTTCCTCACATTGTTGTATATATATATATATATATATGAAGATGAGGGTTGAAAGGAGAGAATATCTAGGTTATTATTGTTTTAATCATTATAATGAGAGAAGACACATCCTGTCTGTCTACAAGACAAGAAGACTAATTAGATTCTCAAGTTACATTTCGCTTTAGGGTTTTTACTGTTAAATACAAAAATATTTAGGTTTAATAAACAATAACATTGTTATATAAACCATATATTAAACAGCTAAAATCTTTAAATGTTATTTTTAAACTTAAATACAAAAATATTTAGGTTCGATGAACAATAACATTGTTATATAAACCATATATCAAACAGTTAAACTGTTGATTGCGAAACGGAGCAAATGTACTGTTTATAGTTTCAAAATATTAACGCAGAGAAAGGAATTAAGTTTTTGTCTCAAACTCAAATGTTCTAATTCCTATGTCTTTGCAACCTGAGCGTGTAAACCTTTGATATTTCAAATTTAGATTACTTTATCTTACAGAATTCATAATATGAAATATTTTATGTCTACAACATTGGGTTGCAAAGATATAGAGATCAGTAAATCAGAGTTTATTGCAAAGATTCAATTTCTTTTCAACATGTTAAATAGAGCTCTGATTCTTTACAGAAACAGAAAACTCGCAACAGCCTTTATTTTTCGTTTTCCTCAATCTTTGCATCCAGCTGGTGGAAGCCTTTAATATTTCAAACTTTAACTATCTGATGTAGCGTAATTCAAAACTTTAAATATCAAAGATCTTCGGCTTCAGGTTGCACTGATATAGAGATTGGAATTATTAGAAAATTTACCTGTTCGTTTTGTTTAATGAGATACACATATGTGGTTGTATCTTCGCAACACACTGCCGAAGGATAAAGGTTGATTTGTCGTTGTTCCTCCTAAACATAAATAGGAATTCAAGGACTGACGTTTACATAGGACGGATATTATAGATATCATAGGACGGATATTAAGGATATTATAGGACGAAATATATAGATATATTGGACGTAAATTAAAGATATTTTAGGACGGGTATTAAAGAAATTATAGGACGGATATTAAGATATTATAGGACGGATATTAAGATATTATAGGACGGATATTTAAGATATTATAGGACGGATATTAAGGAAATTATAGGACGAATTATATAGATATATAGGACGGATATTAAAGATATTAAAGGACGGGTATTAAAGATATTATAGGACGGGTATTAAATATATTATAGGACGGATATTAAGATATTATAGGACGGATATTAAAGATATTATAGGACGGATATTAAGATATTATAGGACGGATATTAAAGATATTTTAGGACGGATATTAAAGATATTATCGGACTGATATTAAAGGACGGATATTAAATTTAGTATAAAGGGTTGTTTAGAGGGTTTGGATGGGTTAGTATTTTGTATAGAAACTTTAGACTACCAGTGTAGAGGGTTGGGATGATTTAGTATTGTTAGTATTGTGTAGACCAGACTACTAGAGTAGAGAGTTGGGATGACTTAGTATTTTGTATAGAAACTATAGACTACCAGTGTAGAGGGTTGGGATGGGTTAGGATTGTGTAGACCAGACTACTAGTGTAGAGAGTTGGGATGACTTAGTATTTTGTATAGAAACTTGGACTACCAGTGTAGAGGGTTGGGATGAGTTAGAATTGTTAGGATTGTGTAGACCAGACTACTAGTGTAGAGAGTTGGGATGACTTAGTATTTTGTATAGAAACTATAGACTACCACTTGAGAGGGTTGGGATGACTATAGTATTGTTAGTATTGTGTAGAACAGACAACTAGTGTAGAGGGATGGGATGACTTATTATTTTGTATAGAAACTATAAACTACCAGTGTAGAGGGTTGGGATGGGTTAGGATTGCTGAAATTTGCTTTCATCTCTGGTTGGATAAGATCAAAGGGTAGATGAGTTAAAGAAGAAGTATATCAATATATCTTCATGTATCAACCCTACTGTCTACATATTTCAGTCAGTAACAATAAATATTTTGTTAGAAATATTTGTTAAATATTACATTTTAGTGATCTTTTCAATTTTGAGTTATGATTGTAAATTTATTTTGATTATGCATTGGTGGTATACATGATTTAAACATTATTCTCTACAAGCTAATAAAATAGAAATAAAATAGTTAGAATGCCTTTTATCTCAGAAACAGTAAAAGTTTAATTTTCAGCATACAACAGCAAAGAATAAAGGAGAATAAGAAAATAGTGAAATATGGTTGATATGAGAATATGCATGACTCGATTTTTAAACATTATAAAAAAATCTGCCATTAAATAAAAACAATTAGTTTGAAGTTATAAGAAATGAAATCTAACCTTGTGAGATCAATAGTTCCTGCAACCTGCCACCCATTCACTTTCAGTATACCAATCAGGGTTGAGACAAAATATCTAGATTCTACAGAATCGTTTGAATCTGCCCACCAGGGACACCCTCCTAGTTTAAACTCTACAGATCCATGGTAGTCTCGTTGCTTCTGCAGACCCAGGTACCAATGCTTGATAACCGCCTCCTTAATAGCACCAACCAGACCTAGAGGAGTCCGAACCAGACGCAGCCGGTCATATCGGTTCAAGGATACAGCACAAAACCTGAACTCATCCATATCTAGGTTAGGACACCATTGGAAGACTAAAGAGTCTGCAGTTGACTCCAGGTTGAGGTTAGCAGCTAGTCTCCAATTATTCTCCGCGAATATCTTGATAATCTCCAGGAATACAAGTCGAGCCTGGACACTAGCCTTCCCACTGTTATATACAGCCTGGAGAATGTATATGTTAGAACCATGTACATTTAAAATAAGAATAAACTTTCCCAAACTTTTTGGTGAAAATATAAGCTTATGGCTTGAAAAAAAAGATGCATATCCAGAACTGAAAGTTTTAGAATTTTGAATATTGAGATCAATGCTTAATCTCTTCTTTTTGCGCGCCATTTAATGAGAGAACTCTCATTTGTCGAAATCTGGTTGTTATATATAGAAAGAGGTAAAAAGAGCGGATTAGGCAGAAATCAAAAGGGTCCACAGTGGATGTTTAGATTAAACAATCGGTATTGAGGGTATCCACTTCTAAAGTTTTCAGCTCAGGTTAAACAGTTATATATTTTAGATAGATTAAACATACTGAGGTGAACAATTTCATTTTCTCGTAATCCAAATTTTATTTTGTATTTAACCAATAGGTTGGGTAAGAAAACTGTGTGATCCAAAATAAGTGATTCAAAGATATAAAAAAATAGAACTTAGCCTACAGCTGGTTTTTGTGAAAGAATTTTGTTGTCTATAGAAAAACTTAAATCTTATTTTTTATGAAACCGCTGTAAAAAAATTATTACATGAGACCAAGGATTGGCGTGTATCTATGTTAACATGAGACATAGGATTGGCGTGTATCCATGTTAACATGAGACAAAGGATTACCGTGTATCTATGTTAACATGAGACCAAGGATTGCCGTGTATCTATGTTAACATGAGACCAAGGAATGCCATGTATCTATGTTAACATGAGACGAAGGATTGTCGTGTATCTATGTTAACATGAGACCAAGGATTGCCGTGTATCTATGTTAACATGAGACAAAGGATTGGCGTGTATCTATGTTAACATGAGACCAATGATTACCGTGTATCTATGATTACCTGAGACCAAGGATTGCCGTGTATCTATGTTTACCTGAGACCAAGGATTGCCGTTTATCTATGTTTACCTGAGACCAAGGATTGCCGTGTATCTTGAGGCTTGTTATCACGCTCACGCTTCTATTGTCGTCTGCCAGGGTTTGTTTTGATTTGACCCCTGGGCTCCAGGTTAAATGGATGATCTTAAAAAGAAAATTCTTATTAAAGACAAACAATTATTCGTAGGTATATCTTTTGGGGTAGGTCTGCTCTAGTATGTCTTTCTAAACCTTCTTTATTTCTATTTAGTTCAGATTTATGGCAACAACACCAGGTGTGATTTCGATACAATAAGGACAGGCAAAAGATATGTGACATTTCTAGTCTTAAACAAGAGAATGGTTAGTGGGTAGGGACCTGAACCTATGTTTGTTGTTTGTATTGATTAATCAATTAATTAATTAATCAATCAATTCTTCTTACAAGAATAATCTCCACCGTTAATTAGATCTTTTATTCATTGTAAACATAGATGCTGGGCGCTGTCAGCTGTTTCTCATGAATACTGTCAGCTATTTCTCATGAACGATGTCAGCCGTAATCATGGATGATGTGATTTGTTTTTCATGGATGATGTCATGGCTGTTTTTCATGGATGATGTCAGCTGTATATCATGGATGATATCATTCAGCTCTACATCATGGATGATGTCAGCTGTTTTTCTCATGAATGATGTCAGCTGTATATCAAAGATAATGTCAGCTGTTTCTCATGGATGATGTCAGCTGTTTATCATGGATGATATCAGCTGTATGTATATTATGGATAATGTCATGGCTGTGAATGATGTCAGCTGTAACCTATGGATGATGACAGCTGTTTTTCATGGGTGATTTCAGCTGTTTCTCAGGATGAAGTCAGTCATTTCTTGTTGGTGATGTCAGCTGTATATCATAGACGATGTCAGCTGTTTCTCATGGATGATTTCAGCTGTATATCATGGATGATGTCAGCTGTTTATCATGGATGATGTCAGCTGTATCCCATGGATGAGGACAGCTGTTTTTCATGGGTGATTTCAGCTGTTTCTCAGGATGAAGTCAGTTGTTTCTTGTTGGTGATGTCAGCTGTATATCATAGACGATGTCAGCTGTTTCTCATGGATGATGTCAGCTGTATATAATGGATGATGTCAACTGTTTCTCATGGATTAAGTCAGCTATTTCCTATAGGTGATGTCAGTTGTATATCATAGATGAAGTAAGCATTGTTTCTCATGGATATTGTTCGCTGTTTTTCATGTAATATGTCAGCTGTGTCTCATGGATATTGTTAGCTGTTTCTCATAGATGACGTCAGCTGTTTCTAATCGGTGAATCTGTTGTAAGTATATCATAGCTGATGTCACCGTTTCTCACAGATGCATACAGCTGTTTCTCATGGATGCTGTAAACTTTTTCTCATGAATGATTTCTGTTGTATCTCAGGAATTATGTCGCTGTTTTTAATAGATTTTTGAATCTCTTTCTCGTGGATTATTTCAGTTGTTTTACAGGAATGATGAAAGTTAACCGAATTAAAAAAAATTTTAGGCTTTTCTTATCCCCGGGATATATATTTTTTTCCGACCTTTTAAATTGGGTAACATGTTAAAAAGAACATGTTTTATAACAATAACTTTTTATACAATAACAGTGTGGGAATGGTGAGCTCTCATGCTGGGAATGATTAACCCTAAACTCGGGAGTGAAAAGAAGATTGATTATGTATTCTGCAGGTTTAGGTTTCATCAGAAAACAAGGGTTGAATCATTAAAGGAATTTGATTTGCGGGGTTTCAAGAGTTTTAACCTTATACTCTCCTCCCAGAGTTTTATCTTATACTCTCCGTCAAAGAAACCTCCCTGAGTTTTTATCTTATACTCTCCGTCAAAGAAACCTCCCTGAGTTTTTATCTTATACTCTCCGTCAAAGAAACCTCCCTGAGTTTTTATCTTATACGCTCCTCAAAGAAATCTCCCTGAGTTTTTATCTTATACTCTCCGTCAAAGAAACCTCCCAGAGTTTTAACCATATTTTCTCCTTCAAGGAAACCTCTCAGAGTTTTTATCTTATACTCTCCTTCAAGGAAACCTCCCAGAGTTTTAACCATATTCTCTCCTTCAAGGAAACCTCTCAGAGTTTTTATCTTATACTCTCCTTCAAGGAAACCTCCCAGAGTTTTAACCATATTCTCTCCTTCAAGGAAACCTCTCAGAGTTTTTATCTTATACTCTCCTTCAAGGAAACCTCCCAGAGTTTTAACCATATTCTCTCCTTCAAGGAAACCACCCAGAGTTTTAACCATATTCTCTCCGTCAAGGAAACCTCCCAGAGTTTTAGTCTTCAAATCATCGTGAAAAAGACCTTCCGAGGCCTCTCAAAGTTTCTGCTGTCTTGTATGTTGAAAGGATTTGAGAAAAAAGTAGTCTACCTCCTTTAAACATACTCTATCTACCCAATATACCTACTCAGTATACCTACCCAGTATACCTACCCAGTATACCTACTCAGTATACCTACCCAGTATACCTACTCAGTATACCTACCCAGTATACCTACCCAGTATACCTACCCAGTATACCTACCCAGTATACCTACCCAGTATACCTACCCAGTATACCTACCCAGTATACCTACCCAGTATACCTACCCAGTATACCTACCCAGTATACCTACCCAGTATACCTACCCAGTATACCTACCCAGTATACCTACCCAGTATACCTACCCAGTATACCTACCCAGTATACCTACCCAGTATACCTACCCAGTATACCTACCCAGTATACCTAACCAGTATACCTACCCAGTATACCTACTAGTACTCAGTATACCTACCCAGTATACATACCCAGTATACCTACTAGTACTCAGTATACCTACCCAGTATACCTACTAGTACTCAGTATACCTACTTAGTATACCTACTAGTACTCAGTATCCTACCCTAGTTTGAGCAACTGTTTAAATTTATCTTGAAACTCGATGTTAGAAAACGAGAAAAAGAAAACAATGAAAATGAAATAAAAACTTGTTACAGAGAGGTTACAAATAGAGACTGGAGCAGCTGATACTGCAATACAACCCATCCTTGTCCCAGACACATATATTTAAGTTCGAATACAACAAATATAGGAATATCTCCATACTGAAACTAGAGACTGGAGAAGCTGATACTGCAATACAACCCATCCTTGTCCCAGACACATATATTTAAGAATTAGAATACAACAAATATAGGAATATCTCCATACTGAAACTAGAGACTGGAGCAGCTGATACTGCAATCAGAATAAATAATCAGAATAAAGGATACAAATAATCCTAGTAAACTATTAGAATAAAGGATACAAATAATCCTAGAAAACTATCAGAATCTTAGAAGATACAAATAATCCTAGAAAACTATCAGAATAGAAGATACAAATAATCCTAGAAAACTATCAGAATAAAGGATACAAATAATCCTAGGAAACTATCAGAATAAAGGATACAAAGAACCCTAGAAAACTATCAGAATGAAGGTTACAAAGAATCCCAGAAAACTACCAGAATATAGGATATAAGTAACAATAGAAAACTATCAGAATATAGAATACAAAAAAACCCTAGAAAACTACCAGATTAAAGGATACAAGTAACCCTAGAAAACTACCAGCTTAAAGGATACAAGTAACCCTAGAAATCTATCAGAATATAGGATACAAGTAACCCTAGAAAACTATCAGAATATAGGATACAAGGAACCCTAGAAAACTATCAGAATATAGGATATGTTACCCTAGAAAACTACCAGATTAAAGGGTATAAGTAACCCTAGAAAACGATCAGTAGAAAAGGAGCCGTTTGTATGTTCCAGGGTAAAAAAATAACAAACATCATCAAGTGATAAAGAAGTAAAGAAATAAGATAAAAAGAATGATGGTGAAAATAATATATTCGACAACCTTAGTCTTTCCTTCCTGTATTTTGTATATTGAGAAAATCCTATATTTATATTATTTATGCTGCTGGAATATAGGGGATATTGTAATACATTCTTGCGGGGACTTAGAAAGCTTATTTATTAGATGAGAAAATACAATTCTTAAAGGTACAGTTTGCAGTCATGCATTTAACCATCAATAAGTTATGGTTTGAAAATTACAAGATCTTGTCAAAATTCAGGTAAAATTCAGTTTGGAAGAACTATGCAGATTGCAAATGAGCAATCTTAACAATGGATTTCTCTTTAAGTCTTCAGGATTTTAAAATTCTTTATTTCATTAAGGGTAAAATTAGGATTTAACACAAGATCTTCCAGATATTTACATACAATCCCTTTATTATAGTTGTGTATTCATGAACTGGGTTTCTCTAATGTTTACCTAATTAGTATTGACATTATGTCATTAAATAACCCTTAATATCTTGATTATAAATATATAAATATATATATATATATATAAGAATTGATGACCCGGACGACCGGGCCGGGCCGTATATGCACTGAACTTTGCCTCTAAAATTAACTTATACCTCTCTAAGACGTTACAAGAGTTAATGTAGAAATTAAGTCGCATCGTTAAAAGGAAAGATACCTGTACAGCATTGAAAATATTTTTTATTCAAGAGAACCAGGTCTGAGCCAAAATTGCTAGCTAAAGGAACTGAGTTTTTGCCACAAATTCTGATTTTCAAATCGCTGTATCTTTCCAACCTGATTGTGTTAACCTTAGATATTTCAAACTATCATTATTTGAAATAAAATAATTCATAGTTTGAAATATCTAAGGTCTCCGACATTGAAATGCAAAGATATAGGGATAAGAAAATCAGAGTTAGTGACAAAAACTCAATTCCTTTATTTGTTTACAATCAACCATTTTCAGAGTTGTTCCCATCAGTTAGAGTAGAATTCAAGAATTCAAACAAACCATCCTCTTCTTTAGGCTTACATGGAACAGTTGTGGTGGCCAGAAGCAGGGGCATACACAAGAATTATGGTAGCCAGAAGCAGGGGCGTACACAAGAATTATGGTAGCCAGAAGCAGGGGCATACACAAGAATTATGGTAGCCAGAAGCAGGGACATACACAAGAATTATGGTAGCCAGAAGCAGGGGAGAACACAAGAATTATGGTAGCCAGAAGCAGGGGCATACACAAGAATTATGGTAGCCAGAAGCAGGGGCGTACACAAGAATTATAGTAGCCAGAAGCAGGGGCGTACACAAGAATTTGTCTGGAGGTCTTCAAATTTTTGAAAAACCAGACGGTGGGGGGAGGGGGGGAATCATTGTTTTGAATTTTCATGGTGAGGGCCCCCATACCCCACCTCACTCACCTTTATTACTTTTTCCAGCATAGTTTTCGGTATATTGATTAGGAGAAGGGTATCTGTACTGTACGGAGCTACGCACACAAACTTATGAGAATAATAATGTGTTGCGATAACATCCACCACTGGATCCCGTATCTTGAGGAATATGGTTCCGTTGCTCCGGGTTCTAGATACATCACTGCAGAACACAATATCATACCTGGAAGAAAAAAAAACTATATCTCTAATTTGGTAACGCAAAAATGTTTAGAACTATTTGGGATAATAAGAAAAGATTTGAACTTTTCAAAGTTTTGACAAAAGGACTTACTTACTTATTTTTTTATTGCTAGATTAGACGTTAAAACTTTTCCTTGAAATTACAAAACATTCTTTTTTCAGTTTAGAAATTCAAGAAATGCAAATCTTTACTATACCTTTGGATTAAAAACTTAAATTTAAAGCTCTAATAAACAAGAAAAAGAAAATTTCAGGCTAAATAATCAGAATATCCTTTTTTTTAAATCCATCGAGTTTTATGATTGACTTAAAGGGACTGTAAGCGTAATTTCAGGTAACCCTCTTTGCAAAGATGACAAAGCCCGATTTACAACGATATCCATAAAAACTTTGTCTGATCAAGAATGAATTAGATGAATTAGATCACCAGTTTTGGTTTCAGAGATATTTAAATTTTAATGTGCAGTTTCTCCACAAAAGTGAATTGCTTATTTATTGCTTAGAAAAAAGACTGAAGAATCAAACACTTTTCGAGTCACAATAACGACATTATCGTCCATATTTTTTATCAGATTAAATTGGGCATTGTAAGCTTACATGGAGGCTCACATCCTTGAAACTACGCTGCAGTTACCAGTCCCCTTTATTTCTATTTATTAACCTACCCAATACAGTAAAGAGCACCCAGAACCCTGCAAACTGCAACCCTGATCAGAGTTGAATCCTCCTTGCCTACAGCTGTCTCTCCTAGTAGACCATTCATCGTAATTAACATAATTTAAAAAAATAAAAATAATTTTTTTTTGACAATCTGCGAACCTCATGCAATCAACACCCAAGAAAGAACATCAGTATTCTTTTTTTGCTTTATTTACAAGAAGCATACACTGTAGTTTCTGGGAGGACTGTTAACAAACTGATTTTCTTTATTTTACTCCAAGGTACATTTTTTTTATTTCAGAGTTCGTTCTCTCCATCATAATGTTTAAACAGTGGTCGTGAAGTTCACATACTTTGGGGGACGATAGTTTGGCCCCTAGATGTCTCACATAAAATTCTGATCTAATAGATAGATAATTCTTATGAGACATCTAGCGGCCAAACTATCGTCCCCCAAATAGGGCTGGGCGTCGTTCTTGAAGAACGATCGTTCTTTCACAAGGGCGAACGGAACTATCAAGAACAATCCCATTGTTCCAAAAAAAGAAGGAACGCAAAGAACACGTTAAAAAAATATTGGAATGGAACGGAGAAGAACGTAACGGAACGGAATGGAATGGATATTAGCTTAAAAGAACGTTTAAAATCAGGAATGCATTATTATTATTGAATGTATGCTAAATCATCTAGAAATAGTTAAAATATTTTTTGATTCGATCACCTATATATATATATATATATATAACTATACATATATATATTTGAGTGCATATTGTAGAGCTATAATGTTATAAAGTCTAATATATTGTATATATTATATTAGAAAAGTATGGGAGAATATGTCGCATTATTACAAAAAACATGATTTATTCATATAAATAACAGTTTCATTATTCACGTTAACTCAGCCGGAATTCTACACACAACTTTCAATCCTTTTTATTCTAAACAGTTTCTAGTCTAAATAGTTTTTTTAGTTTTCTTTTAAACGGTTTTTAGTTTTCCTCTAAATATTTTTTTTCCTCTAAATGGTTTTTACTTTTTCTCCAAATGGTTTCCATCTGAATAGTTTCTATTTTTCATTTAATTGGTTTCTATTTTTCTTTAAATGAATTTTAGTTTTCCTCTAAATGGCTTCTAGTTTTCCTCTAAATGGTTTTTAGTTTTCCTGTAAATGGTTTCCAGTTTCCCTTAAATGGTTTAAAGTTTTCCTCTAAATGGTTTTTAGTTTTCCTGTGAATGGTTTTTAGTTTTCCACTAAATGGTTTTTAGTTTTCCTCTAAATGGTTTTTAGTTTTCCTCTAAATGGTTTTGAGTTTTCCTCTAAATGGTTTTTAGTTTTCCTCTAAATGGTTTTTAGTTTTCTTCTAAAGCTAAATGATTTCTAGTTTTCCTTCTCTAAATGTTTTCTAGTTTTCCTCTAAATGATTTCTAGTTTTTCTTTCAATGACTTTTAGTTTTCCCCTAAATAATTCAATTTTTCCACTAAATGGTTTCTAGTTTTCTTCTAAATGGTTTTTATTTTCCCTGAAAATGGTTTTGAGTGGATCTCAAAATTGTATTTCGTATGTACATTATACAGTGTACATTGTAAATGAATATTGTAGATTGTATAGTGGATGATGTATAACTCTGGAATTGAAAAAACGATTATTAGACTCAAGGTATGACTATAAGCTTTAAAAAGTCCAATAAAACATAAACAATTGCTTTGTAACAAAATAGAATACACTTAAAGTATTGATTTAGTGTCGTTTTACGATTCGACAGTTTTTTGGTTTTCATTGTGCATGTATATTGTATATTGTATATTGTATATTGTGTATTCTTTATTTTATATTGTATATTGTATATTGTATATTTTAGAAGTACATTTATTGCTTCTAGATATAAATACATATTAAATAAAGAATGTATAAAAGGAGAGGAAGTTGAGAAGGTCTTCTCCGGTTCCAGGGTCCGACACAACTGATTTGCGGATTTCATAATCAACTTTCGGGGATTTCATATCCTCTACAGAAGTCCCCCCTAAGTCTCGATTATTGTATATTGTATATTGTATATTGTATATTGTATATTGTATATTGTATGCTGTATATTGTATATTGTATATTGTATATTGTATATTTGTTAATATATATTTAATCTTAATTTGTTTCCTGGAAAAGGGTAATTTTTAGATTTATCATCATTTATCTTATTCATGGAGCTTTTCTTTACTTAATTATACAGTATACACCCAGACAATGTAATTGTATATATCTATGATTGTATTAAATATATTGTAGTTCTACTCTACAATACCGTTTTACACCCTGACAATATAATTGTATATATTTATGATTGTATTAAATATATTGCAATTCTACTCTACAATACTATTATATATTCTATACAATATAATTGTATATATTTAATTGTGAACTAGGGTTTCCAGCGAACGAAACGTTTTGCGAAAAAATGCGAAAATTTTCGGTCGCATTTCTCAAACTTTTTTGCGTAACTTCGCATTTTTTCGCGAAAATAAATGAAGCGAAATTTTTTTTTTGCAAAAATACAAAATGCGAAAATATGGCGAATTACGAAAATTTCGCGGAAATACAAAAACTTTGTGAAAACCATGAGTTTTATAGCTGCGACAATTAATTGCTCAAAAGAACTTGTGGAATTCTCTGCTCTGATAGCTCAACATTTGAAGTTTTATTATGTCATATGAATAATTTCTCTTCCTTTACTTTAATAAATGTTTGATGAAGAGAATTTGATTTCCCTAGTTATCTTTTTAAGTTTCTGTCTGTTCATCCACAATACATACGTTTAACTGGATAAATCCCACTTTGGAAATGAGTCTTGTATTCTCAAAACTTAGTCATTTTTGATTTTTTTGCATAATTTCCATATTTTTCGCGAAATTTTCGCTCTTTTTTTTGCGAAATTTTGCATTATTTTTTCGCAAAGTTTTTGCATTATTTTTCGCAAAATATTTGCATTATTAAACTTATTGAAAATCTGGCAATAAGTTTTTATCTTTGATTATTGATTTTAATTAAATTTTACAATATTTTTAAATATTTATATGATATCAGATGGGAATATTTTAAGATTTCTATATTTCTTCATTTTATTTTTGTTCATACATCTTTCAATCATATTTCGGCTAATTTTGAAAATAAATTTTTGGATGTCCTTGTTGTATGCCCTTTACAAGAAAGAACTATTTTTAGAGGATCTTGCTTTATTTCTGAACTCTGTATTGGTATTGAACTAGCTAAGAAGATCTTGCATTCTTTTTTTGGAACTCTGTAATAAATTGTTAACTCATGAGTTGCAACTGACTAAGCAAAAACACCAATTCCTGATATTTTCTTGGGGGCGAGGAGGTTCTTTTGACAACAAGTTGTGGAGCAGGGAGGAGAGATATAAGAGATATATGGAAAATGGGGAGTTGTAAGCCTTAAAGGAATTTTCCACAGCAGTCCAGTCCTCATAGCTGGGTGAGTAAAAATCCGGTATCATTGTGCATGGCTTGTATACCCATCGAGGCTGAAGATGGAGTCTTGCTTTATTCTAAATTACATTTGACAGGCTATTCCCCTGTAGGATAAGACATGTGTGCAACTAAACGCAGTGCTCCCCCAAACTGTAACGCAAGGACTGCTGTGAGAGAGGTCCGTTCTCTTTTAAGGGTGGTAAGCAACTGACAAATCTGGCGATAAGTAAATATGTATTTCGACTCCGACGATGTAAGGGGTTGTTTTTTCACTATTAGTAAAGACAAATATTTTTTGCTGTTTAGAATGAGTTAGACAGAGCTTGCCCACCCTGAAAGCGGGGAGGCAACAGAGGTCGATGGCCTGGTTTATGCACTGACAAGCATTACAAGCCCCGGTTAACCCTACCAATCAAGTCAATCAAGATGGAAGTGGCACTGACCTCATAGGATAAATTTTAAAAGACCGTGATATCGCAGTATCAGGCTAAAGCCCAAATCCTCAAAGTGCAGCAGACTCAAGTGACGCGATTGAGGAATGCGGTGGACAGGATAGATCACAGTATGAAGTGGAGAAATCCTTTGTCGATTTTCATTTAATAAAATTGTCGGACAACTTGTTTGAAGGCGGAAGGTTAGTTCAGGAGCTGAATATATTAGTGTAAGAAGCTGAATATTTTAGTTTAGGAGCTGAATATTTTAGTTTAGAAGCTTAATATATTTGTTTAGGAGCTGAATATTTCAGTTCAGAAGCTGAATATATTAGTTTAGGAGCTGAATATTTCAGTTCAGGAACTAAATATTTTAGTTCAGTAGCTGAATATATTTGTTTAGTAGCTGAATATTTTAGTTCAGGAGCTTAATATTTCAGTTCAGGAGCTAAATATTTTAGTTCAAGAGCCGAATATATTTGTTTAGTAGATGAATATTTTAGTTCAGGAGCTGAATATTTCAGTTCAGGAGCTAAATATATTAGTGTGGGAGCTGAACATTTTAGTTCAGGAGCTGAATATTTCTGTTTATGAGCTGAATATTTTAGTTCAGGAGCTTAATATTTGAGTTCAGAAGCTGAATATTTTAGTTCAGGAGCTGAATGTTTTAGTTCATGAGCTGAATATATTTGTTCAAGAGCTGATTATTTTAGTTTAGGAGCTGAATATTTCAGCTCAGGAGTTGAATATTTCAGTTCAGGAGCTAAATATTTTAGTTCAGGCGCTAAATATTTTAGTTTAGGAGCTGATCGAATATTTTAGTTTAGGAGCTGAATATTTTAGTTCAGGAGCTAAATATTTTAGTTCAGGAGCTGACCGAATATTTTAGTTCAGGAGCTGAATATTTTAGTTTATGAGCTGAATATTTTAGTTTAGAAGCTGGATATTTTAGTTTAGAAGCTGGATATTTTAGTTTAGGAGCTGAATATTTTAGTTTAGGAGCTGACTATTTTAGTTTAGGAGCTGAATATTTTAGTTCAGGAGCTGGATATTTTAGTTCAGGAGCTGAATATTTTAGTTTAGAAGCTGGATATTTTAGTTTTGGAGCTGACTATTTTAGTTTAGAAGTTGGATATTTTAGTTTAGAAGCTGAATATTTTAGTTTAGGAGCTGATCGAATATTTTAGTTTAGGAGCTGGATATTTTAGTTTAGAAGCTGAATATTTTAGTTTAGGAGCTGGATATTATAGTTTAGGAGCTGAATATTTTAGTTTAGGAGCTGAATATTGTAATGAATTAGTGTTAGGGATAGTTTACGAAAATATTTTAGTTTGATGGTGAATAACAACACTATTTCTGTGAATTAAAGATAATGATTTTGAATTTAAATTATGAATAATATTTTTCAAAATTGGCAAATTTGAAATAACAAATCTTTAAAAGATATTAGTTAAGCAAAGAGGGATCCTTGAAACTGTGGAATAAGAAGACGGCTTTTAGTCTAAAGTTATGATTTTTAATACAGTGATAAGCAAGTATATTAAGACAATGAAGAGGATTTTTTTTAAAGTTTGAAGTTGTTAGCAAATTATTTTCGAATTACAAGTTCACAAGTTCCATGCTGTTCAACAATTTTATTCAAATCAAAATCTAAATTGAAAGTCGTCCTCATTGTATTGATAAAATCGCCTACCAATGTATACGAATTTACATAAAATTTTGCCGTGACCAAAAACCCATTTACTTAATAATTATTGGCTTTTTAGTTGTAAAACTTTTTTTATACCATCAATGCACATTGTCATCTGCTATTCCACAGTTTTGTGGGTCTCACTGTATAAGATTTCACCCTTCTATGTTTGGTGGTAATAAACATTCGTGATGATGTCATAAGATTAATTAATATTGAATGGAAAAATGAAATGATAAAAAAATTAAAATACAAAGAACTATATTTAACTACCCACGTCAGTTTGATAATTTTTTAATACAAAGATAATTTACTACAAAGCGCGGGTAAACGGTGGGACTAACGCTGACTGGGCAACGTTCGGTTCCCAAACTAGTACTTAATAATTCTAAACTGTTTTTAAACTGTTTTATTTGATAATTGGAGTTGCTCTGACAAATTTCATAAATACGATTATTTTAAAAAAGTTATCATGATAAGATTCTTATCACAATTATTTTAGAAAAATATAGGAAAATTCTAAAAAGCTTGATAAATAAAAGTTTTTCTATCAATTTAATCTTTCAAGAAATTCCTGCAGTTGTTTTAGTTTTTTGATTGATAAAATCCTTTTTGTCATTTATTCAACAAAGAAATTTCAAATTCTTGAAGATCAATTATGTTGTTGGTCGACTGAACATATTTTTAAAGGATTAAAGTGCATCAGATTTATAAGCTTCGGTATTTTTTCTCATCGGATACATTTTTTCGTATCTTATTTCGGGGGGGTTAGGCCATAATCTCTTAATATCCCTTATCAGTAAATTGTCCTAGGTGTACACTCAGGATAGACAGCGGCCCAGGTAGTTAACTATCATCCCCCCTGACCTACAGAATTGTTAATCCTCTAGTAGTCTCTTTTGAATAATGCAATTAATATCTTGTTTTAAAAAAAAGTTTTCTATTTTGAATAGCTATGGATTATCTTTCATTTTAAATGTGAACATTTTCTCTTTGTATATCATTGTAAATCAAAAACAAACAAAAAAGTAATAAGGGTTTCCATTTTTGACAATAAATATTTTTATCAAAATTTGGATGGTTTTCTTAAATTTCAGTTAGCCGTTAATTTTTAGGAGAAGACCGGAACGTTCATTTCGTTAACAGCATTTACCGTTTTTAATTAACGTTAGTTAACTATCTCAATTTTATTGACAACTTTAATGGAAACGCTTAAAAATTAACCATTGCCAGGATTCACTACAAATGTCAAAATTAATTTCAGATCCGGACTAAAACCCATTTCTCAGTCTGGACTTGAACCTCCAGGCTGATGAGTGGAGTCTAAAGCTTTCGGTCTAACATTCATGATTTGATTTGATTGACGGTGCGAAGCACCGCCAAAAAAAATCAGTTTATGAAATTGTTAACAGTACAGCTCTTAATGGTCTTTTGTAGTATTAACGGCTTGAACCGTTGAACGGTTTCTCATTTCGTTAACGGTTTATAAAATCGTTTACAGTGCAGCCGTGAACGGTCTGTTGTAGTGTTAATGGCGTTAAGGGATTGTCAAACACAGAAGACGACATTTTAAAACATCAAAACACGTAAAATATATTTATTTTTGTTAATGGTTAATGAAATTGTTAACGGTTGTGAACACAGAAGACATTTTAAAATTCACTGTTTAAAAAAATCTGTTTCGTTTTTTTGTCAACCGATAATTTCTTTTTCAGAAAGGGCTAATCCGTTTCGTTAACGATTTAAAAATCAACGGTTTTTTGCTGTCCGTTAACGGATTCTTCCGTTAATTTTCGAAAATCTTCGTTCCGTTAACGGAACTTTTCCCAGCCCTATGAACCAGTAAAGAAAAAACTTCAGATTTTAAAATATCAAAATATTTTTTTTCATATCCAATCACATCGCCAAAATTCCCTGCAAAATTTATGCAATATGCTTCCTTTTGTCAAAGGCAATTCAGACAGATATTTTGTCTACAGTTGTGCAATATTTTTTCTTTTCCTTTGAGCTATTGCAACGCTCTGCATTATTACAAAAACGGCTTTTTTTGGACGAATAATGAATAGATATTATGCTGAGATTTGAGTTTAAGACATTTAAATACATTTAACACTAAAATTTGTGCTAGCACAAATAGCCATACATCATTTTTACTACAAGAAAAATGGCATCAAAAAGAAAAATGCCGTTAAAAGCTCAAGAAAAGCCATTCTTAAAATAGAATTTAAGTATCTACACTCTACATAAAGAAGCTTCCCCCCATTTTTTACATTCTAACAAGGCTTAAAACTTAGTTAACATAAATTAGATTGTTTAAATGTTTTCCTCCATATCACAGTTTCAGGAGTCCCACTTTATAAAAGTTATAAAATTGAAATTAAAGAGTTAATAACCATTAACCTTCCTCATCCTCAATCTTAATATTTTGTTATCTTGAGTATTTCAAAATTATTTGTTTTATTGTTTGATGAACTCGGGAATGCATGACAGGCGATCAGAGAATTGATTTAGAGAAAATCAAATAATTTTCAAGAAGATTTTTTTCTATAAAATAATGTTCCAGGGCCCAAAAGGTTATATAGGACAATAATTCTTTAAAGTACACCTGCAGTATGGAGACAGTACAACAAAATGGCCGTTTTACACTTTTTTTCAAAGTAAATTCCACTCTATATATAGTCTATACTCTTTGGTTTTACGAGTGTAGCGTTTTTCCAGTATGATCGAAAATGGTACAATACAAAGCCTGTACTTTTACACAGTACAGTGCAGTACAGTAACATAGTACAGTTTGCATAAAAAATGGTGTACAGTATATTTAAGATGTACTGTATATATTATTAATAGAATTTAGTGCATTTACACTTACAGTGTTCTTTATATATAGTATAACAGTACATTTCAGTACAGCGCAGTACAATACAGTGTAAATTATAAATAGTACAGTACAGTTACACTGTTCAGTGCGCATTAAATGTACAGTCTTTACAGTTACACAGTACATAGGCCGTTATTTACAGTCTAAATATGTTGCACGGTACAGTACATTGTTGTGAACCATATCCCTAATGTAACCCTGTTTCAAAGGTCGTCTCCGACAAAGTGTACCTCCGTTGAATACTCCGTACTCCGGCCATCCGCCAAACCAAACCTTGCCAAGGATTTTACATAAATAACCTCATGGATCTAGTAAAACTTAAAGTGCATTAAAAAGAACCTATTAAAATGTCTTCCTACACAATAGTTATTAAATGATCAGATGAAAAAATGTTGTTGATTTCATCAACATTTTCTTAAAATTGACGGAGAAGAGTTTAGACAATTTTTTTTTCAATAACTAAAAATATTAACAAATGTCGGGAATGAATGTCATCACTTAATGTCTATGTTTTTGAGACGACCTGCATCTCACTCATAAACCTCTCACTTACAATAGGACTAGGAGAAAATCACAGATTGTATAAACTAAGCTTGAGATAAAAGAAAGAAAAAATAATTATGAAATGCGATTGAATTCCTTTGAAGAATGGTTTCTCCAGCACCAGATCAAATATATTAAACCGACCAGTGAACCCTGATTGGTAATCACTAAAACAAACATAACCATACTTCTCCAGGGGTAGAAGCTGTTCTACCCTCTCCTGTACACAGCTAGCAATATGCTGGTCAACGTTTATCAGTCTTATTATGTTCGGAGTTCTGAAGGTGATTGCGAAGTATTGAATGGGTCGGTTGACCGGGAACCCAGTAGCGGAGTACTCATAACTAGGTTCAAGATCATCCATTCTCCAGCTGTATATAGTTCTAGGTGATGTTGGATATATCTAGTTATCTTGTATTATATATCCAGTATATGTTGGGTATCTGGGGAGGGACCCCTGTACCCCCCTACTCAGCTGTCTCATCACTGGGGGACGGGTTGGGCTGGCGAGCTGCATCCTCCATCTCTGTATTGATCACAGCATCCTCGGATTCTTCTCACCGTCACCTGGGCCCCGCCCCA